GCGTGTGGCAGGCCCTCCAGGAATGTCTGATGAAGCAAGGAAGACGSAAGTGGAGGGGAGGGAACAGGTGCAGGGGGTCACCGGGGAGGCCACACGGCTCTTAGGCCACACGGTGGCGCTTCTACAGGGCCCGGGAAGACTGCTCCAGGCGCCAGGGGCCGGGGTCAGAGTGGCAGTCCTTGGAACTTGGGGTCTCCCATGCAGGATAAACAAGGCAGATAAGCAAAGGGTGCACACTCCAGCCAGGGTGAGCAATTCCTAAGGACACCACATCTAGGGGTCACCCCGCAGTCATGAAAACCTGGAGCCTGGGGATTCTTTGCTCAATCAGAAGCCGAGATCCCAGAGCAGAGGGGAGCAGCACATCCYATCCATGGCCACGTGTCCCCATGAACACACTCAGACTGCACCAAAGACCGCCCCATGCCATCTTGGAATTGCCTGGGCCCAGAGAGGCCAGGCTGGGCAAGGGGGCCACGCACCCTACAGACAGCAGGCCTCCCTAGCTCACGTGGCCACCAGGGGAACCACGGCCACTACAGTGATGGCCCCCAGGCAGGGCCTCTGAATGCCTCTGGCCCTTGAAGACAACCTGCACCAGAACGTCCAGGCTGCYTTCAGCCTCGACCATCCCGTCCTGTCTCCTGAGCCTCCCACTGCTGATTCACCCCTCCAGCCTAGGGCTTCTCCAGCACAGCAAATGTCCCTCAGAGGATATTTGGCAATGACTGGGAACATTCTGGTTTCCACTGTAACTGGTGGCTAGCAGCTAGTGGCCAGGGATACCACCCAATGCAGGCCCTTCCAGAAGAAGAATCATCCAACCCCAAATACCAATAGGGCGAGGTGGAGAAACCTGCTCGGCCTGTGCCCCTCCTCCTAAATCCCTCCATCATGCAAGCCCCCAAAGATCCGGCCCTGCCTTACAGCCCACTCACTGCCCACACCCGCCCCACCACACCCCAGGCCCCAGGGGCCGCCTGCCCAAGTGTCCGAGACAGGCACACATCCCTCCCCAGCTTGTCCACGCTTCTTGTCAGCCAGAAGCGGTCCTGGGAAAGCCAGGCAGGCAATCTGGCCCTGGAGGCCACTCCATGGTGCCTGGCCAAGGCGGGCAGGGGCTGTCCCTTCCCCAGGAGCCTATTGATAGCTTGTGCCCCAGCCCCATGCTGGAGCCAGGCAAGGGGTGTCRACGTAATTCCACAGACGGCCACCAGAGGTCCTCAGTGAGGAACAACTGCCCAGTGATGGTGGGAAGGGGCCGTCCAGTCCGGGAGGGGAAGAGACGCCCACCAGAGCTCTTTGCACAGGGCAACCTCTGCTCCCAGGACACACACCCAGGTGTGTGTTGCTGAGGGGTGACGCCAGAGCAGCACTGAGAAGAAGCCAGATGGCAGACTTGAGTTTCCAGTGTGAAGAAATAATTTCAAATGCTCTTCAGCCAGTGTTTACAGGTGGCTGAAATTCTCAACYGTCTTTCACAAAAGACCCAGGGAAAATGTTTGTGGGCCAAGAGGCGATGGCCACAGATACTCCAGACCACCTCCCTGGTGGCCACGGGAGCAGGTGGGCAGAGCTCAACAGGCAGGCAGAGGTCTCCCGGAACAAGGTCCCGACTTTGCCAGGGAGGGTTCCCTGGCCTCTGGYTTCCGGAGGGCCTCAGCCAATGGGAGCCCAGGAGGAGGCTAGAGGGAYGGAGGGCGCCAGAGGTCCCCCCGCTGCATCCCTCACTGATGAGGGTCACAGCCCTTCTGGATTGGCTTCAGGTCACAACCCTCTCYTTCCAGGCACCTGCCCACTGGGCTTGTTCCTCCAGAACTGAGGGTCATCACACCTCTGCTGCCCCTGCCACCGGCCCTGGGTCCACACCGCCCCTGGCTCATACCCACACCCTGCCCGTCCCTTTGTAAATAAACCCTGCTGGGGTCATCCTGTCCGCGTGTTCCATCGTTTCCCAAGGGAACCCTGACCTGTAAGCCATTTCCCAAGGGAACCCTGACCTGTAAGCCAGCCTGGAGGTTCCGAGCCCCCCACCAGCCCACACAGGGAGGGTCCCTGAAGCTGCCTGGGCAGGAGGTGGGCGGCCTCGGAGCAGGAGGGAGCTCCTGCCCCCAGCACGTCCAGGACGGAGCCCACCACAGCAGACGCCAGTCAGGCGGAAGTGTGCTGGGAGGGCGGTCAGCAAGAGGGCAGGGAGGGCACCGGACGCCCCATGCTCAGCGTTCCTCCCACTGGAGGGCTGGAGGCCCACGCTCCTAAACCCAGTTTCTTAACAACCCAGAAGGAACCCAGCTGCRGCAACAGCACAGGCCGAGGCTCTCAGGAAGGAAGGCCCCTGGCAGCCTGCGGCCCCTCGGCGCTGCCAGCGCATGGGGAAGGGGCTGCAGGGGCTGCCCTCTGCTGCTGCTCTGCTGCAAGCCCACGTAGTCAGACTCTGGGAACCCTGGGCTTTGTCCTGCACCAGTGACCAGGGGACAGGAGCCTGGCACTGATGACAACGTGAAGCCAGCAGGGAAAGCCACCTCCCTGCAGGTGGTCTTCAGGTCCCCTTGCCCAGTGTCCCTAGCACATCCTGACACGGGGCCGGCAGCCCTCCCTCCTTCCCTGGGAACTGCCACAGCCTGACAGTCCTGCCCCCCCGGGCGCTCCAAGGACATCTCTGCACCTGGACAGGTAAGAGCCGCCTGGCCCCCCACGATGGTGCTCCCGGTCCCCGTGAGTTTCCCGCTGTGGGGCCCAGCCGAGCCACACGCTGGAGCCTAACAGCAACGTGAGGCTGTTAGGTGTCCTCCCCAGAGCAGCCTCARGCAAGAGAGGGACAGCGGGGCCAGGGCTGTGCTGGGAGCCACTGACCAGCTGACGGACCAGCCCTGCCAGGAAGGTGTGGCCGGGAACCCAGCCCCCGCTGACCTTCCTGCCTGGCCAGGCCCCTCTTCCCCAGGGACTCCCTCCAGGGGCCTCTGCGAGGTGCGCTCACTCTGCTGAGCTGCCTGGGAGGGCAGGCGGGGGCAGGCGGGGGCTGACGCGCCTGGTGTTAGAACAGGCCAAGAGGCGAACTAGTACCTGAGCAGAGGGCCCAGGCCTACTCAACCGCTGGACACGACACTGCTGTGGTCATTATCAGGYGTGTCCGTCAGTGCCCGGGGGGAACCGAGGCTGACTCGGCCTCCCCCACTCACCCCGCCCACAGACAGCCTGCGGCCTGGAGGATTCTGGAACAGGCAGGAGGGAAAGTGCCCGTGGGTGGCGTSTGCTGTGGTCCTGATGGTGCAGCTCGGGGCCCACCATGCCTTCTGCCCCCCCMCCCCACGAGCCTGTGCCCGCTGGAAGCCGACCCTGGCAGCTCTGCCCACGGGAAGACCAAGGCTCCGGGGGGCACGTCCAGGTGGCCCAGCAGATACTCTTGAAACGTGTCAGCCCTGGGGCCAGGGGCCAGCAAGGGGCGTGTGCAAAACCAGGACAGAAGCCAGGTCATATGTGGGTGGGAAAACCACAGACCCCGGTCTTCGCCCTGGCCAGGTGTGCCTGCCCCCGGGGGTTCTGCACCTGCTCCTGGGCTCCCTGGTCTGCTGCACCTAGCAACGCCGTCTAGATGACCTGGACAGGAAGCAGGAGCCCGGTCTGCCTGGGCTGCCTGCCGGAGCAGACCCAGGCCTGGYGTCAGGCAGAACAGTCGCTGAGCTCAGGGGACACTCAGTGGGGACATGGGGACCCACCCCTCCTCCAGGGGGTTCCAGTGTCCTGCGACAGGGAGCCGTCTGTCACCTGTGTGCCCAGGGGGTGGCTGTCCTTCAGGCTCCACAAGGAGAGAAAAGGGCCACGGGACGGATCTTCTCCTGGTGGGGGGAGCAGGACCCACCCGTTCCTGCGGGGGTCCTGGGGACCCTGCAGAAAGGTAGGAGCTGGCTCTTCAGAGCAGCTGAGATGGGAAGGAGAACCTGGGGTTGGCCACTGGGGAAGGCGCATCGTGGGTGAAGATRCCATCGAAGAAAAGCCCAGACCAGGTTTTCCACCGCAGCCCGGGGAAGGGGCTGGGGAGGAGCACAGGGCGACGCCATCCCTGCCTCCCTAAGGCCACACGACCCCTGCACGCAAGCAGGCACCCGTTACGCAGTTGTGACTGTCCCAGTCATGACAAGACTCCAGCCCCTGACACAAGACACCGAGGCCAGATGGACGCCACAGGCACCCACCTCCCCTGCCCAGCCCACCCGGCTCCTCCGCAGGTGACCGTGGCCTGCCAGGCACTGGGGCCCACTGGTGGGAGGGCAGCAGGAGCTCCGGGGCCTGCAGCAGCCAGACCACAGACACCGCCCCCTGCCCTCCTCCAGGTCCCCGGCACACAGCAGCCCAGGTGCCAGCAGCCTGTCCCCTCGGCCCTCCTCATCACAGAGGAGGCTGCRGAGCCTGCACTGCAGCACCACAGCCAGGGACAGTAGGAGACCTGTGGCCACCACGCAGGTGACCACCTCTTGGAACCTGTCTGGGGTCACTGGAACATGATGGGATGTCCAGGGGGCAGCCCTGGGAGGCAGAGGGACAGCCATGACCATCAGGGGAAGAAAGAGCGAGAGGCGGGGGACAAGGTCGGCACAGTGCTCTCAGGCCACTGGCGGGAGGTGACACCAYCCAGGGAGGAGAAATTAAAAACCACCCCACCCCCGCTGTGGCCTCTCAGGAGGGAGGCGCCTCTGACCCGGACACCCCCCTCTGCAGTGCCCAGGAATTGGCCGAGGCTGGGGCTGCGTCCCGGCCGGCTGGGAATTTCAACAGCAGGGACCGCAGATGCGGCTGGGGTCCCGCCCCGGTGCCATGTGCTTCSGGGTCCCTGTCCTGCCTCCTGCTGCCCAGCACGGGGAGGGGCGCTCCCCAGACCCTCAGTGGCTTCCCGACCCCACCTGCTTTAGATTTCAGAGAACGACCATCCTAGACAGGAACGTCCTCGACAGGAACGTCACCCGGCCCAGTGGCAGCCCGGCCGCGGAGGCTGCRGGTCCTACCTTGTTGTAGTACTTCACCTGCACCGAGTGCCACTGCCCGTCACTCACGCCTCCAGGGACCTGCGGCGCCACTGTGGTGGTGGTCTCACCTGCACCAGGGGACGACCGGAGAGAAGGCAGGTGAGCAGGGCCTTGCGGAGACCTCGGCGGCTTCCAGGCTGCTGGACAGACGCACTGCTCCCTCCGCCCGCCAAGGGGGCTCCACCCCAACCTCGAAGGGCGGGGGCAGGGGACGGCCCTCCCAGGCCCACTTCCCCAGGGGCCTGCTCCCGTGTTTCTTTTCTGATCACAGAAGCACCCTCCCTCATCTCTTCGTTCAGGGAAAGGGCACGCAGTCCACGGGAGGCCCGAGTCGGCACCACGGCCTGCCCCGCAGTCAGCACAGGGCCTGGCCCTCCTCTGTGAGTTGTGCCACGGCAGTGGCCAGCACCGAGGACACACGGCTGTCTCCTCCTCTGTCACTTAGTGACAACTGCCAGCGCCTTCCCAGCCACAGGACACCTCCTGAGGTCCTGAGTATGTCCCCTTCACTCCTGGGTCCTGGGCCACTGAGGCCATCGCTCTCCCAGGAGACCRGCCTCGGGAGGTGGTGCCGGCACTGCACCTTTGGAACCGTGGAGGGTCCYGGTGAGGTGCTGGCTGAGGGCAGCTGGAGGAAGGGACGTCACTTGCACAAAGGGCAAGGAGGGCGATGTCAGGCCCCCAGCAGGRACTGCCTTCCCAGGGACCACAGGACATTCTGGAGAGGGGGCAGGTCTGCAGAGCAGCGACTCCCCCCTCGGAGCCCGCAGAGGTGGCCACGTCCCCGACAGCCGGCTGGTGTCATGGGTGTCCCTACTCGTTATCCACGTGAAATCAGGTCCCGGCCTCCAACTCTACACGTGGGAGTCGGACCAGGGCTCCGGGGCGCAGCACCTCTGGGCTGTCCTGGGGAGCCACCAGGGGCACAGCGCACCCTAACATCACCTGCCGCGTTCAGGACCTCACTCTCCCCCAAGGCCACGTGTGGATGCTTGGTCCAGCCACTGCGATACTAGGAGGTGGTGGAACCTTCCGGAGGGGGCCTCGCGGGTGGAGGCTGGGACACTGGGCCGTGCCTTTGTGGTCCCCTGCCCTTTGCTTCCTGTCTGCCAGGAGATGAGGGTCTCCCCTGCCAGGTGCCCCTGCCAGGAGGTAGAGAACCACCACAGGCCCAGAAGCAATGGRTCCAACCAACTAGGAACCTCTCCTCTTCATAAGCTATTTATCTCAGGTCTGGTGTCACAGCGACGGAAAGCAGACTAAGACATCACCTGTGCCAGGAAAACAGACCAGAATGGCCAGGGGCCGCTAGACTGTTTGGCTGAATAGCCCCCTACCAGCAGGACACTCCTTTGATGTCTTTGTCAACTTTTGGTCTGCAGGGCTGGGTCAGCTGGGTGGTGAAGTCCTGCCTGGCACCTGGGCTCAGCCCCTGCAGCACACACCACCACACTCKGCTGCAGACGCAGCCCACGCCTCTGAATGACCCCCATCTGGGAAGCGGGAGCGGCCCCCCCTAGTGCCGGCACCGCGAGTGACACTGTGACCAGCAGCTGTGCCCTCGGGATTTCTTCCGTCAGCTGGGCCCCTGGACACAGAATCAGGTCCGTGGGGTGAGCAGCCTGGGGGCGCCGCGGGACGAGGGGCGCCRACAGCGCCTGGGGCCAGAGCCTACCTGCTGAGAAGGTGAGCTGCACCTGCCCGTCCACGATCTCCAGGGCGATGAAGTCGTGCCTCTCGTTGAAGCGGCCGTTGTACAGCAGCAGGGCGTCCCTGTCCTGGGTGGCAAACCTGCGGGGCAACGGGCCACGTCACGTGACAAAGGTCCCGGGGCCATCGGGCCACTGGGGAGGGGCAGGGCTGGCCCAGGAGGGGCCACAGCTCAGGTGCCGCAGCTGACGGCCTGCAGAACGTGAGCCCGTCACAGTCCCCCCGTGGGCTAGAGGGGTGRCACGTGGCCAAGACTCCAGCCATACACATTTTGGACACAGAACATACCACACCACGTGTCTTCTACAACTGGAAAGAGACCCCCAAATCCCCAAGCCCCTGCACACACAGGGACACTGGAGCCGAAGGAACACCTCAGGCCTCCCCTGAGCCCCTGTCACCTCTCCCTAATATAGGTTACAGGTTGAGAGGACCCCAGGGCCCTTGCATCTGCTGCTCCCTCTGCCYGTTACAATCCTCCCTGGCTTTGCAGGTGGCTCAGGGGTTGATCCATGGCACCTTCCCTCACCAGCTTCAGCTCAGTCTCGCCTCCGCTCTAACAGTCCATCATTTTCTTTTGTTCATCTCTGAAATCACTCTATTTATTTATTTTCTTGTTGATAAGAAAGCAAGACCCTGTGATCTTGCAGGGTGTGCCATCCGCCCTGCAGAGGAGGGACTGTGATTCTCCTCTCTGCCACATCCTGGTGCCCCCTGGTCCACACGGTGCTGTGGAGAACACACTGAATCCCGAATGGAGAAGGTGGGACTGGACCAAGGGACGCGGGGACACGGCAGACCTGTCGTGGCTGTGAGCATCCACCACACAGACCAGTCACCCGAGCAGGGCCRTCCCCTCGGAAGCCCCTCCTGCCTGGGGTCCTGGGGTAGCTGMCCACCAGACCTGGCCCCGAGCCCTCCCTCGGCCTGGGTTGTGCCGTCCGTCCTGCGTGGGAGCCTGCACCAGCCTCGCACACCGGCTTCAGTCTCTCCCTGAGTGGACACAGCCCCGTCCACACGGGCTCAGGGTGGCTGTCGGAACGAGGACCGGCACGGCAGGGACAAGGCCCACAGCACGCTGGACACGGGGCCTGGGAGTGAGCGGGTACCGCATGGCATGGCGGCTGTGGGTGCACCTGGTTCTCCGCAGGCTTCACGGTGCCGGCCTGGGGCTGGCACACGGCCGGCAAAGGGCCCTGCCACGCTGGACGCGGGCAGAAGGGGCCCGGACCTGGAGGGGGGGGGGACAATGCGGGCAGAAGCAGAAACCCCGGGAAACAGACCCCGAGGCCGCGGGGCCCCGAGAGGACAGGACAGAGTCGGGGAGGGGCTGCTGGGAGCGGCCTCGGGGCCCRGCACTGGCAGAGGCCACCTGAAACCAAGGCCACACCTGCCCGCTCAGTGGGGCCTGGCTGGGTACGAGAGGGGCCCGGGCGCCAGCCGCAGGACCACAGTCCCCACGTGGGACGGGCCTGGGACGGGCCTGGGGGGCTTTCATGCATTCACGCCTGAAGTCACTCAGGCCAAGGGTCCATGAATGATCCTCCGTGACAGTCTAGAAAAGCTAAGCGTGATGGCTACTGGACGTCACCCTGCCTGGGGACACTCAGCTAAACACTGCTGCCTTTCACTTGCTCTGTCAGGAGCCAGAAGACTTCCTGTGTCAGCCTCCCGCACCTCCCTGGCCCCCACRGCCACCCTCTGGCACCGGGGCCGGTCACCTCTGAGGTCGGCCTCCAGTGGGGTGCCCTCCTGCAGCTCAGGGTGCCAGTCGGCATGAGGGCTGCTGGCCACACCCGGGTGGCAGGTGGCCCCGACTATGGGTCCACACACTGCCCCAAACTCACTCCAGTCACAGTGCACAGCACTTTCCAGAGACAGGGCTCCTCTGACGTGGGGTGCTGGCGGGAGCCCTGTTTGAGTCACCCGCATGGGGGCCCTCGCAGAGTGGTGGGGCCCTCATTTGGAGGCTGTCTGTGGGGACGGCCTTCTGGGCAGAGGGCAGGGATGGGCAGAGGCAGGGCCGCCCACCAGGCCCAGGCAGCGCCTCGTGAGCCCACCTTGCCAGGCACAGAGGAGGCACACGGGTGCCCGTCCTCAGGCAGCTCTGGCTGCACGGCTCACCCCCCCACCAGGTGGGACCCCGAGACACCTGCTCAGGGAAGGCCAGGAGCCYGGGTGCAGGGCACTCACGCGAGGGCGATGGTGAAGTGGAAACGCTGGCGCAGGCCGCGGAAGGTGACGAAGGACCTCGGCGGGAAGCTCCTGGCGCTGACCTCGCAGTAGGGCCGCTGGTACTCACCCGGGGGGCACACGCAGTGGAAGCCRCCGATGAGCAGGTTCACGCAGGTGCCCCCATTTTTGCACACGCCGTTGGCACAGCGGCCGGAGCGGGCATTTACCTGGCAGTGGTCCCCTGGGGACGAGAGGCAGAGGCGAGAGGTTACCGGAGGCCGAGGGACAGCAACGGGCCTCAGAGGGCCCACAGAGCAGCCAATCAGGGAAAGACCAGCTGGAGCAGAGGAGGGCCCCCGGGGCAAGCGCCCGGTGCCCAGCACCCAGTGCCCAGCGCCCAGTGCCCAGCGCCCAGCGCCCAGGCCGTGGGGCAGCTGCTGCCAGGGGCTTGGTTCTGCTCAGTGGCCTTCTGGTCCAGCGGCAGCCCCCAGCTCCCAAGTGGCTGAGGACAGGTGGGGAGCCTGGGGTTTTCTAAATGCACTGGGAGGTCTTCCCTGAGGGTCAGGAAGGAGGCCTGCTGGGCCCTGGGGAGCGCGGGTGGTGGACAGGCAGCATGGGACCCAGGCACTCGTGGGCTGAGCTCAACGCCCCACTGTCCAGACACAGGGGCTCCCAGCCCTCCCCACCCCTGCACCTGGGCAGTGCTGACCACATCTGTGCCTTGCCCAGGACTCGGGGACGTGCCATAAGCTCCAGGCCCGGGGCCCCTTCTCAGGGGCTTCCTGATGCCTGTCCTCCCTGCTGGCCCTCAGACCCCTCGCCCAGACCAGCCAACACCAGGTTCCAACCTGGCGATGACATCTGTCTGTCCCACCAGCTCATGGCCTCCCTGCAGGTGGGCACCACCCCACAGCCTAATGCCCCTGCTTCAGGATGGTTCCAGGGGCTTTTCCAGAGAGCCTGGGGGTGCCTACAGCTGACCACCTATCTCCTGAAGGCCCCAGCCAGGAGGGCCCCGGGCTCGCTCACCCTCAGCACGGTGGTGTCCGGACCAATAGCCATGTGGGCCAGCGGCCTGGGAGGTGCTCCGTCCCCTGTGGGGTGATGACCCCAGTGCACCTGCCTCCTTCACCTCTGCCAGGGAGGAACGTTGACCAGAGACCCTTCACATAACAGGAGAACCACCCAGCAGCCTCTCCCCGGGTCACTGATTTTAAAGTGAATGCATTTTTTAAAACAGTGTCCCGTTCACCTACTAAAGAGTGGAGCACAGGAACCGGGCACACGGCGTGTCCAGCAGCTTCTAATGCATACCGCCAGGGAAAAGCCAGAGCCCCCGGCCCAGCACAGGCGGCTGGAGCTGACCCCCAAGGGCTGCCTGGTACTGGTGGCATCAGAACTCCAGCCACCTGTTCCCACCGGTGGCCATGCAGGCGGATTACGGTTACTTGTGGACGGCACAACACTTTTATTCTATYGTTTAGGTGATGCTGAGGGTTGAACCCGGGGCCTCACGCACGAGACAAGTGGTCTACCACTGAGCCCCAGCCCCAGCCTGAGGTTTCCTCAGTGGCAAAATCTTTTCCTTTCCCACCTCCTTGTACATAAGCCTTCGTGTTCCGAGTCTCTAGACAAAACCCCCAGCTGTGCTGAGTCACAGGGTAGTTTGATGACATTTTGGTAGACATTTCCAAACTGCCCTCTGCATGAGCTCACATGCCCACCCACAGGAAGGGGGCCTTGTGAGAGGTGATCAGGTCACTGGTACCACCCAGAAGGGCCAAGGGCTGTGGGAGTGGGTGGCTATCAAGCCAGCAGGGATTCCCCAGCTACTCTCTTACTGTGTGGCTGCTCACACCTGGTTCACGTGACGTCATCTGCCATATTATGACATGGCCAGATTTTCATCCGAAGCCAAACCTATGGGGCCACCCAACCTTGGACTTTCAGGCCCCAGAACTGTGCTAAATAAACCTATTTTCTTTTTAAAGTACCCAGTCTCAGGTAATTTATTATAGCAATACAAAAGGGACTGAGTCAGATGTCTCAGTCTGCTAGGGCTGGGCCACTTGAACAACAGACCTGACTTCTCTCAGTCTGAAGGCTGGAAGTCCAAGATCAAGGTGATGGCCAGCTGGGTCCTTGGTGGGCTCTCTGCCTGGCTTGTCCTCACATGGCGGAGAGGGAAGGAGGGAGAGAGGGTGCACCCTAGCTCTGTCTCTCCTGACACAGACACTGACCCTGTCCTGTGACCCCATCCTGAGACCCCACTTAACCCCTAATCAATCCTCACAAGTGGAGCAGAGCCAGGACGTGGGGAGCTGGGTGGGAGGCCATTCACCCCCAGCAGACACCGCGAGGCTGCGGGGACCCAAGAGCTGCCCGAGGAGGGCAGGGAACTCACGTCAGTTCTGTGAGCAGACCCAGAAGCTGTGAGGCAGAGTCCTGTGGGACCGCCACACCCCCAAGGTCAAGGCCAGGCTGTGCCAACAGCTCTCAGATGCCCTCAGCCCTCAACGCCACCCACCCAAGGGGGCAGTGCCACCGTGACAACCCCCCAGCAGCTGCTCAGGGTACACACGGGGGCCACAGGCCCAGCGCAGGCCAGCGGTGAGGGCCGACCCCGTCAGCCGACCTCTGCTCCGCCCAGCACAGCCTGCCCCTCACCCAAGACCTCGGGTCCCCGGAGGCCACGCTCCGCCTGATGCGTCCCCACCACKGAGTCAGGAGTCTCCCCCACCCAAGGGAAGGCCTCGGGGCGTCAAGAGTGGAAGGAGCCATCTGAGATGGTGACAGTCACAGGGACGAGCCACCTTCCCACAGCTCTCTTCCCATGTCCCCTCCATGAGCAGGGGAACCCCGACGCGCACAGCCGCTCTGAACCCTCCTCACACCCACCTGTGACCCCGGGGCCCGGGAGGCCGAGGGGGCTCTGGGCAACTCAGGGAGACCCCGTCTCAAAAACAAAAGGGTGGGGATGGCTCCGCGGTGCAGCACCCGGCTTCCAGCCCCCGCCCAGAAAAACACCAGCCTGGGGGGCGGGGGGCTGCTGACCTGCTGAACACCCGACCAAGCAGGGGCCACCGCGAGGGCTCCAGGGCCTCGGGCTCCAGGTCAGGCCCAGGCCCAGGCCAGTGGGTGCTTTCTCCCCAGCAGCAGGCAGGGCCCAGCCCGGGTCAGGAGCAGAGACCGGCCACCTGCAGGGCTGAGGGGAGGGAGGCAGCCCCGGCCAGCCTCGGGGCCTCACCTGGGCTCCGGCCCCTGACCCTCTCATCTCTACCCCCCTGATAACGGGGACCCCGGGGGACTGTGCAGGCTCGCACTCGCACACGGGCCCTGTGCACACACGCACACCCGTGGTGACACACTCACCCTGCCACACCCACGCACACCCACATGCATGCCCACCACACACAGCCACACACTCCCGACACTGTCACACAGGCACCTGCCATGCACACCCGCGCACACCCGTGCACACCCACTCCCCACAGGCACACTCGGCCTTTTCCAGGGCTTCAGCTGCACCCCTCCCTCAGACACTTCAGATTCTCTTAGAAACGCGGGCGTCTGGGAGGGTCTGCTCTGCAGCATTCCGGGCGGTACTTTCTGGAGAACAAACCGCCGCAGGAGGACAGGCAGACCGAGTGCTGGCCAAGGCCTGAGGACACGCTGCCCACAGCGCTGGCCGGCCAGGTCCAGAGCCCTCAGGATCCAGGCCCAGACCCTCGACCTCCCAGGCCTGCCCAGTCTCTGATCCCAGTGCGGGGACCCCCCCACCGAAGCCCAGGGTCTCTCCATACAGGGGGAAGGCAGGCAGCCAGGGGACACAGCTGTCCCTCACGCCGTAAGGACTGGCTGGGACTTGCTGCTTCTAGGCTGGGTCTCCCCAGCAACGGGGCCACAAGCCCTTAGGCTGCCCTTGTGGGGTCACCTGCAGGGACACTTGAGCCCCTTACACCCTCTGATGTCCAACAGAAAGGCCACAGTGAGCCCCAGAGGGAGCACTCCGGTCCCCAGGTAGGTGGCCATCCCAGTCCCACGAGGAGGGTGGCCCGGCTCCAGGATCCAGCGTTTGTTTCTTTGGCTTTACAGAGAGGCCACCGTTGCCACCTGGCTGTGTGACACACGGCCACACACCCAACACCACAGTCACCACCGTCATGTTCTGGAGCTGGAATCCGGGGCCAGCTGTGGACGGGGCCGGGCCTCGCAGGAGGCTCCAGGGAGGATTCTTCTGGCTCTCCCAGCCTCAGGGTGGGGCTCCGGGTTCCTTGGCTTGTGGCCGCATCACTCCAGTTTCTGCTCCAAGAGCACGGCCACCTTCCCTGGTGGAGTCCCCTCCCCGTCCTGACAAAGACACTGGCCATGAGATTTGGGGTCCAGACTAAGCTCTGGGGACCTCATCTCGGGTCTAAGCTCCTCCCATCTGGAAAGATGCTCCTTCCAGAAGAGGCCACGCTCCAAACGAGAGTGGACCTGGGTCTCAGCGGCCAACAGGGGGGCCTGAGACACTGCTGGGTCCTTCCCCGAGGACTCACTAGCGAGGCTGGTCCCAGGCTGTGGTTCCCCAGCGGCCAACAGGGGGGCCTGAGACACTGCTGGGTCCTTCCCCGAGGACTCACTAGCGAGGCTGGTCCCAGGCTGTGGTTCCCACCAGCCAGGAAGAGGCAGAGCCTGGGCTCCCCAGCCAGCAGCCTGATCACCCCAACTCCCTCTCTCCTTGGGTCCCCAGGCTCCCCAAGCCCAGGCCTTCCCTCCCCAACCTGGTTCTCCTMGGGGCCCCCATCTGGGGTGAGGCACGGAGTCACAGCCACACGCCTGACCCCTGCCCCTGGTCCCCCACAATGCTCACCTGCCAACTCCTCACCCCTACCCACATTGCCACCTTCAAGCCGCACCCCTTGCCCACAGCGCCCCTTGCCCACGGAGCCCCCCTCACAGGCCCTGCACCCCGCCACCTTACAAATCTGCCTGCTCTGCACAGGACCCGGGAGACACCCTCTCAAGCTGCCGGGCTCTGTGTGTTGGTCCCAGTGGCTTAGAACCACCCTCACTGGAGACCCCACCCACCCCGGGGGCTGGCCATCAAGAACAGGCCCAGCCCCTCTGCACCAGCCTCCCCCACCAGCCTCCCTGCCTCCCTCCGCCAGGCCCAGGGGATCCACCRGTGAGCACAGGTGGCCTGCAGCCCCCGGAGCCGTCCCTCGTCATCAGTGATGGGAACCCAATGGTGCTCAC